GGGAGTACTCAGCGTGGTTCAATTTTTCAAATGTATGGGAGGATTAAGTAATGTATACAGTCCCTGAAACGTTCTACTTTCCCATTTTTCCGTTCGCTCACCGTTCGTTCACCGTTCGTTCACCGTGCGTTCACCGTTCGTTCACCGTGCGTTCACCGTTCGCTCTCCGTTCACAGTTTTGCGTTCAGCGTTCACAAAGCGTTCACCGTTCGCTCTTCGTTCGTTCACTTTGCGTTCACCTTGCGTTCAGCGTTCACTTATCGTTCAGTCTTCAGTGTCATTCGGAACTCCGAAGTGAAAGGACTTATCTTTTTTTAAGTAAGGATTTACAGGTTTTGAATTTAATAAATAACATACCGTGTTTAAAGAATCATTATTTCATGGGGAAAAGATTTATCTACAAAATTAATGTTTATTATTCTAACTTAGCTGTTAGGTTATTTATAAAATTTATCTGGAAAATAAATGTTGTTATAAGTACATGTATGTAGAACGATGCTGAAAAATTAAATTTAAATACTGGCAAAATACTGATACTTCAAGCACTGCAACATTTTGTTGTTATGTTAAGGACGACAAATCGTTAATAGATAGATAATAATCGAAGTCAAATAATTTACCAACTGCAGCAAAAATATGAAAATATTTATTTCTATCACATTTTTTTTTTTTAAATAATACAGAAATACATGTTAGAATTTTTTCTGAGAATGATAAACAGTGCTGCGAATATCCAGTTAATTAAATATCTTTATAGCGAATTAAATTGATGGTGTGGTTTAAAATAAATATTTGTTTGAAATGCAATACATTAAAGAGTTTTTTTTTTCAACTTTACATATCCAAATTCTTTAATTAGAGAGAGAAAAATGCCTTTATAACATGATTATCATTTATATAACCAAAGTGATTCTCCAGTAATGATATTTTTCATCGTAACTTTAAATGTTTGTCATTCGATATTATTAAGAGCCCCCCCCCCTTTCCCCTAAATCGGTTACTTAGTTAGTATTTGCAGTACATTTTAATTAACATTTAAAAAGAAGTTAATGTGTTTTGTAGCAAACAAACATGCATCTAAACAAAGTCATTAAACAATAGTATTTCAAAATATACATGTGCCGGCGGTGATATTTTAAATTGGCAGGGAGTATGTTTCAAATTCAAGCGGCTTAATTATTCCAAGTATTCATTCCCAATGTATTTTATTCATTTATATATTTATTTTTAGAAATTTTGGAATCAGATCTAAAAATGATAAGAAAAAATGTTAAAACTTCTTGGAAATACTAACACTTTGTCTTCGGTGTGACGAGACTTTCACACCTGCACAGTGTCGAATGATTTTGATTGACAAGTCATGCTCGTGGACTTCGTGTTAACTTAAAGCAGGAAAATAAAAACCGATTATAACTGTAAAACAAATGGATTTGTTGATTTAAAAAATGGTTACTTTCACTGCCTGATATATTTAGAAAAAATTGAGAATTTTTGTTTGATATGTGTACAAATATTTGAGGAAAGGGGGGGGCTAAAACCGAATCTCTCTCTCTCTCTCTCTCTCTCTCTCTCTCTCTCTCTCATTTGTCTGTTAATAAAAACTGTGACATCATATTACTTAAATATCAAGTTGTGAAAATTTAATATATAACAAATAATATGATTGCCTCTTTGTATCATCTTGTCCGAATATAATCACGGCCGGGAAATGTCTACAGATACATGTAGAAGTCTGCTTTATAAATCATCCAAAAAAAAAAAAATAAAACTGACACATAAATATATTATTGCATTAAAATTTTAAAATACGAGTGTATTTATGCAATACGTCCACATACCTTTGTAAAATATTTTTTTCTTATTATTTAGGCGGAATCGTACGGAAGCCGGAAGGTGCCAGGTAGAAAAATATTTTATCTGGCGGCCGCCAGATAAGTTTCTGGCGGCCGCCAAATAATTATCTGGCGGCCGCCAGATAAATAACTGGCGGCCGCCAGAAACCTATCTGGCGGCCGCCAGAAACTTATCTGGCGGCCGCCATATAATTTTCTGGCGGCCGCCAGATAAAAAGATCTGGCGGCCGCCAGATAACTTATCTGGCGGCCGCCAGAAATTATCTTGCGGCCGCCAGATAAATATTTGGCGGCCGCCAGATAACTTTCTGGCGGCCGCCAGATAACTTTCTGGCGGCCGCCAGATAACTTATCTGGCGGCCGCCAGATCTTTTTATCTGGCGGCCGCCAGAAAATTATTTGGCGGCCGCCAGATAAGTTTCTGGCGGCCGCCAGTTATTTATGTGGCGGCCGCCAGATAATTATTTGGCGGCCGCCAGAAAGTTATCTGGCGGCCGCCAGATAAAATATTTTTTCTACCTGGCACCAACCGGCTTCCGTAGAATCGCCTTGTATGGTTGTTACAACCATTGTAATTCATTCTATAGCTCCGTAGTTTTCTCCTCTAAAATCCACATTATTTGTAATGGTTTTATATATAAAATAAGAATAAACATATTTATTTTACAACTAGATTAATTTTATCTGTTATAACACAGCGTTCGGTAACAATTACAATGTTTTACAGCGATAAAAATCGTATTATCAAAAAGTTGAATTTAAACATCGTACATATGTGCAGAAAATATTGTAAGAAACTTAAATTAATTATTTTTCTTAATGTACATGTATCGTCTTTCTTAGGACAATTTTCACTGATTTGTTTATTATTTATTTATTTATTTTTTAGCATCAGGCATTAGAATACAATAGAATAGTTTCAATGCAAGGAAAAGATCAGAGGCATTCCGAATAAATCGTTCATCTTGCGTTCACCGTTCGTTCACCGTTCACTTTGCGCTCGCGTTTGCGCTCCGTTCGCGTTCAGCGTTCACACATCGTTCACCAAGTTGCGTTCAGCGTTCACATATCGTTCACTCGCCGTTCGCTCTGCGTTCGTTCAGCGTTCGTTCACCGTTCGTTCAGCGTTCGCTCACCGTTCAAGTGGGAAAGTAGAACGTTTCAGGGACTGTAATTATGTTCTATAACCAGATCAGTCTCATAATCCTTTCAAGCCATGATGAATGCAAGTAGATAGAAGTACAACAAAGGGAATACAAATATTACAATATTTACTACAAGCATAGCTGATACATTTTTCGTAAATTTGAAAATAATTGAGCAGTGACTTTAAAGTTATAAATGAACAATAAAATACTCCGTTTAAATAAAATGAAAGGGACTCTTTTAGAATTATTCTTCAGATTTAAGTATTCGTCAACTGAGTAAACATACTGAATGGACAATTCATGAAAGGTAAATTGTACAGTCAATCCTCTTTACCCCGTTCGATTGTGTTCCCGAGTGATTCGTCTGGAATAATGAGCTTTCAGAAGGTTAAAACATATTTTATGAAGTGTGAAGCCTTAAGGGGGCTCTTTACAACGTCACAAAATGGGTACTTTCGTTCGAAACGCCATTTTGGTCCGAAATAAACTGATTTTCTCCTAAACAAATTCACTGAATACCGAGAAATCACGGGTATAACTCAACTTGCGATATGTATACTAGCTCTATTGTTAATGGAATCTATCCCCTCTAGGAGACGAGAGGGCTAATGAAGCCTTTCAATAAACATGAATTGTTTGTCAATATATTCAATTTTGACGTATTTATTCACAAAAAATATAATTTATTAAAATAAAATATTATTATAAGTAATAAAAAAATTAATATAATAAACCAAAGCATTGTCACCATGATATTTGATCATTGCATGTCAAACCAACTCATATGTTTCCATAAAGTTTTAAATTAATGCTTCTCTCCAGATGCATATGCTTTCCAGCGAAATATATCCAAAAATGCAAATTTAAACAGATAAAGCATATATATCACCTTCCAATCGCAGAGGAGACACCCTGTTCCCAACAAGTATACACCCCGCATGTGTGGTTATACCCGGTGAAATTGAAACTCTTCATGAAATAACCATAAGTGGAATTATATTAACTCAAAGGTTTGATCAACATTGATTATCAGCTGTTTTGTATGGAAAAATGCAGATTTTAAACAAAATAGGAATTCCGTTATACGAATTTCAATATAATCCGCTTTTGACCATTTACGTGTCATGTCATGCGTAGCACAGGATAATACATGTACATACAAGGTGGATGAATACGGTAAGTAAATCTACCTTTCTCAATACAATGAATTTGCTGTACATGTCTTTGACTAGAAACGTGTGGGTCTTTGCTTAAATTCATTTAGAAACAAAACAATACGAGCTTTTTTTTCGATGTCCTTGTTTGGCATGTACTTATTAATTCTTTTTTACAATACTGCGAAAGTTTTAGAAGTATTACATTAAATATATGTATATATAAAAAAAATACCACGATATTTGAGCCCACTCTCTAAACGGGTCTTTGACACCTAAGTTTTTGTGATGGTTAAAATTTTCGTAAGTTTTTCAATTTCATTCAATTTCTTTTTTCATCATTTTAACCATTTGATATTATATTTATTTTCCGATTTTGGAGGAAATTCATCCAGTTCTCATGAAAATGCTGTTTTAGTTTTTTCTTTTTTCTATTATTGTAGATTCAAATCAAAATAAAGTATATTTTATTTATAACTTTGTTGGTTTTCATTTCAAAGTTTTATATCATTGAAATTTGAATAGAAAATTAAAGCAAAGGGCTTTTCTATACAAAATAAATAAAATATTTTAAATTTATCCAAAAGATAAAGATAAATACTTTTGGAGCTTTATTTATTGGATATTGAGTCTATTATTAGAAACAAATGCATGGAATCAAAATCATTTATACTTCATTATTAATGAGAAAAAAAGATGCTTAATAAAAAATATTCTTTATAATTTAGTTTTGAAATTCATTATCAAATGCTTTTCTAATACTTTTCATATAAATATGGAAGTCAGTAAAACGTTACAATATTTTCAGAAAGTTTCTTTTTTCTTCAGAAAACATAGCTTTAGGTATGCCCACCTTCCAATCACATGAGTACAGGTCTCACAGCTATTCGAAGTTTACTTTTGATTCTGGAAAAGCTGTAGACGGGTTGAAGACAAACTTCTCAGCCTTTGGAGGACAGTGTGTTATTTCAGCTGATGGATACAAAACTGCCACCTGGTGGGTTAACTTGACATCCATCCACAGTATCCATGATATAAGGATATATTACAGGACAGATGATGCTCCATGGGGTAACTATATTTTTTTTTTCATTAAACTCTATCAATTTATCTGGTCAAACTTTTTTTTCTGTTTATGACAAGCCAGGCAGAAAAGGGACAGATTGTGGCTCTAAATAAAATTAAAAAGCGTTAAAAATGTAAGAGTGCTTGAGTTTAATTTAAAAGTTTTTGGCATTGTAGGTGCAAAAGGGAGAAAAATTATCATGCAAACAATCCCCTTAAAAGATGTCTTTAAAAGGAATAAATTAAAAAAAATAATAAAAGAAGTGTAGCGTGTTAAATTCTTTAAACAGATAACAGAAAGAAATCTTCATTTCTTTTCTCCATTCAAATTTTCAACAATGAATAATTGTTCAGCTATTGAACTCGCTGTATTTGGTCTAGAGACGCCAAGTGTTAGTTATGTTAGCTCACCTGAGCCGAAGGCTCAAGAGAGCTTTTCTGATCAAAGAGAGTCCGGCATCCATCTGTCGTCTGTCGTCTGTCATCTGTCCTGGGTCTGTCGTGTGTCGTATGCCTTCTGTCATCTTTAAACTTTTCACATCTTCGACTTTTTAGGTCACCTGAGTCATTTACGTGACCTATTGCTATCTGTTTTCGTCCGTCGTCGTCCGTCGTCCGTCGAGTGTTTCTCTGGGACCGCTGAACCAATTTCAGTCTGTTTTAGCATATGGCATCTGTGTGTGAAGGAGAACAAAATTTGTGAATATAATGGTCCCTGCCCCCCTGGGGCCTGAGGGGTGGGGCTAAAACCACCAAAATTAATTCAATCTTTAAAAATCTTCTTCTTTACTTCTGGACATCAAGCAGTCAAACTGTTGGCATGATTGTATGTAGCATTGAGCCCTTTACCAAAATTGTGAAATTCATGGCCCCAGGGTCAGGGGTTCGGGTGCTAGGGTGGGGCTATATAGATCCTATAGTGAAAGTGCATTATTTCTTTGAAAATCTTCTTCTCTGCCCCTGGGTATTATTTAAACAAATTAAAAAACATAGCTATGATACACAATGATGCCTCTTACTAAATTGTGGATTTCATGGCTCCAGGGTCAAGGGTTCTGGTGAAAGGGGGGGGGGGGCTCTATTGATTATATAGTGAAAAGCAAAATTTCTTTGAAAATCTTCTTCTTTACTCCTGGGTATTATTGAAACAAATTGAATACATAGTTATGATAAGCAAGGGTGACTCTACCAAAATTGTGAAATTCATGGCCCCAGGATCAGGGGTTTTGGTGCTAGGGCGGGGCTATATAGATCATATAATGAAAGTGCATTATTTCTTTGAAAATCTTCTTCTCTACTCCTGGTTATTATTGAAACAAATTGAATTCATAGTTATGATAAGCAAGGATGCCTCTTCCAAAATTGTGAATTTCATGGCCCCAGGGTCAAAGGGTTCTGGTGAAAGGGGGAGGGGGGGGGGGCTCTATTGATTATATATTGAAAAAACAAAACTTCTTTGAAAGTATTCTGGTTAAGAAGCAAAGAAGCTAAGTGTATAGTTATGATGAGCAAGAGTGCTTCTTCCAGAGTAGTGAATTTCATGACCCCTGTGTCAGAAGTGCTGGTGTAAGGGTGGTGCTCTTGATAATATATTGAAAATGCATTAATTCTATTAAATAATCCCGTCTGCTCCTTAGTGTTAAGCAGATAAACAAAGTGATTACTTATGATGAGCAAACTTCTGGTCCCAGGGTGAGAGGCTCTGGTGTTTCTCGGTGTGGAGGGAGGGGCTCTATTGATAATATTTTGAAAATATTGAATCTGTAGTAAAAATGCATTATTTCTTAAAAAATTTCTCTGCACTTGGGCATATCAGAGGCAAAAAGAGTAAAAATTTTAATAAGGAAGGGTATATTTACCAGATTTTTGAACATCTGGTCCATTTGGTCAAGTGTTCTGGTCCTGGCCTGGGCTCTTTTAATTTGTATTCTACTGAGAGGAGTTATTCCCCTTTGCCATTTACTTCTGATAATTAATCACTGTAAATAATGTACTTGAACGGTTAATAGAATATCAGAATTATACAAGAATTTTTATTGTATAATACAAAAAGTACTTTCATAGTTTTAATGATCAGGTAGACTTGTAAGTAATAGATAATAAAAAATGAGACAAAAATAACTTGTCTTATTAAATGTTCATCAAAGACCAAGAGAGGCCAATGTTAGAGATTTCAACAAGGAATTAAAATAGTACAGAAGCACTGACAGTTTGTTAATGTATTGTATGGTGGGGGTGATAAATGGAGAACAGATTAGAATTGGTAATGGATACTAGACTAATTATTTTGTTGATCCTGATCACCCTATTTTTTTTTTTTGTTTTGGGCAACAAAGGTTCACCTTTCAGTTCATTTTATACTCTATGGATTCTCTAAATTGTTGTATTATACTCAGGTGACCATTAAGGCCCTTGGGCCTCTTGTTCTCAAGAACAATTGGGGCAAACTTGCCACAAAGCATCCTTTGGATTAAATATTGTTCATAGGAAGTGACAAGCCCTCTTTATTGGGTAGACCATTAAGAATTCGTGGTATTTTAAAAATCTTCTTCTCAAGAACCACTCGGCAAGAAAAGATAAAACTTATATAGAGTCTTCATTACATACTCTAGATTCAAGTTCGTTCAATTAATAACCCCTGGTGTAGGTCGAGGCCACAAGAGGAGGTCGAGGTTTTACAATGGAATATAAAAGAAATGTCTTTAAAAAAAAGTATTCTCAGGTAGTGGATTCAAATTTGTCCCTATCATGACCCCTGGGAGAAAGACAGGGCCTTACTAGAGAATCAAGATTTACCATAGGAATATATAGGAAATATCTTTAAAAATCAAGAACAGCTAAACCATTATAATTCATATTAATATAGAAGTATCCTAAGGTAGTGTAGATCTAAGTCTGTTCGAATGATGACCTCAGGGGGTTGGGCCCAGACACAACAGGGGACCAAAGTTTTACTTGGGAATATAAAGGAAATATTTCAAAAATAAAATCTTCTCAATAACAGCAATTATCAGCCATATTAATACAGAACTATCCTCAGATAGTATAGATTCAAGTTTGTTAAAATCAGAATCCCCGTTGATAGGGCGGGCCACCTCAATGTGGCAATTTTTATATAGAAATATTTTGGTGTAATTGTTAAGTGGCATTTGCGAAACTTCAAATAGTGGAATGACCTGACGACCCTTGGAATGGACCAACCAAGGGTTATATACGGCAAAGCTTTGGGAAGGTCAGGCATTCAGAATCAAGCTGAAGAAGTTGGTCGTTGAATCAATAATTAAGAGGTTAAGGCTTTGGGGAAGTCAGGCATTCAGAAGCTAGCTGAAGAAGTTGGCCATTGAATCAATAAAAAGAGGTTTAGGGTAAGAGAAAATAATAGTATCACAGTTATAAGCACCATTGGCAAGTATTCTAAAGAATTGATGTTAAGTTCTGGGTGTAATACATTTGAAGATAATTGACACATTCAGTTCTTATCTGTCAACAGGTCTCTAGGGGAGAAGCAGGGTGCAAGTAGTGCTTTACCTAGTCCCCGTCTCTAGATAAGAGAAAAAATTTATTTTTTTTATTTACCGTCAGACAGAGCACAGTCTTAATAATATTTCTAATCATTAACTCAGACAGAGTAAATGGAAAACCTATATATCCCTTGTAAGAACTTGATCTTGGGTTGGGTGGGGTGAGGGGGCACCAGAGGGTCAAAGTCTTATCTAAAAATACATAGGAATCATCTTGAAAAAAATCATCTGCTCAAGAACAACTAGCGAAGATAAAAAAATTTAAAAATCTTCTGCTCAAGCACAGCAAAGCCATGATTAGTAATACTGATATGGAAGCATCGTGGGGAGGTGTAAATTCAAGTTTGTCCTCCCCTTTTCAATACTGACCTGATTTCTGTTTTTCCTTTCAATGTGCTCAGGTGAGCGATGTTGCCCATTGGCCTTTTGTTTTGTTCAAATGAGAGGCTTGTCGATATAATTTCAAATTATATAAAAAATACTCTTAACACAATACACATTTATAATATTGCTACGAAAAAAAAAATAAACATTGGTGTATTTTTTCATATCATATTAAAAAACTAAACAATTGGAAAATCAATATTTTTATTATTTTCAAAGTCCTTGTCCAAATTAAAAAGGTATTTATACAAGACTATCTTGTTATATAATTGTATTTTTACAAAGTACAGAAGGCAAAAAAAAATGGGATGATCAAATAAATGACCTGTTTAAAATAGAAAAGTGAGTTTTGTCATTAGATATGATCTATTTTAAAAAGTACAATTTTTCCATGATTAAATATAATCGGCAAATTGTTCTTCAGCTGTTTACAAGTGACACCCTCGGTTTCTCGTATGCTATACCCTAATTGTCGATAACCTTCCGTGGGTTGGTTCTGCACATATGAATTTATCGTACGTGCTTGTCAGATCCTTTGAGCAAATTTAATCCATAAACAAGTTTCATTTGTCATGTAGTTTCAAAGCATATCAGAAAGAAATCTTGTCTGATTATACAAATTATAAAACAAAATTACGTTACTCATGTACAAAGTTGCATCTTCTATGGTTATTTTCCTAGGTGCACCTTTGATATTCTTTGTTCCTTAAAAATGTGTTTAATTTTGTGTTCAAAAATGTTCAATTTTAGCAATCATTTTTATTGTAAAGCATTTAACATTCACCTGCAGGGGAAAGAGCTTGAAACTCTTTTAGAATGGATGCATGGTTTTGAATTAAACTTAAGATATACTAGGTATTTAAATAGCCGAATTCGAACTAACTTTCCTTTTTACATGTATATCTAAAAAGAACGAGAGTAAAAAAAGCAAAATGACAACCTATAAAACGATGGTTTGGTTCAAGGTTGGAACAATATAGTCTTTGCACAGTTTTTTTTTTTTTTTTTTTTTTTTTCAAAACTACATCGATTATTAAACATTTCTTTATCCAACAGATACCCATTGTCCCCTTTCAAAAGTTGACATTCTTCAAAATCACATTTCGCCTCTGAATACTTCAAACATTACTTTCATTGGAATTGTTCACACGTAAGTAATGTAAATGAAATATAAATATGCAAAAACTTCTTTTTTTTCTGAACAAAAATTATTTTGATAAAAGAGTTGTTTGTTGATATTGTTACCATAAACTATCTTTTTTTAATTGTGTTGTAAAGTAATAAATCAGAATAGAATCAGTTAAATCAATCGATACTAAATGATATTAGACAGCCAATAAAAAGTACCTTTAGATCGGACCATTAATATCCTTTAAGCATCAATTTAATTGTTTGTTTGAGCATTCTGTGCTCATGACATATTTGGCCTTTTTTCTCAATTTTGTGGATTTTGGGTGGGAGGCGGATTTAAGAATATTTGACCCATTGAAAGTGTACTAGTCTTTTCTGACTAATTTTCGGATAAACATCGTAAATATTTACGATCATTGTGAATTAATATACATTTTTGCCAGAGAAAAGTCAAGTTTAATTCTGTATTGAGTTAATATATCTCTGGGAAAATTAAAATCTGTTATTGGCTCAAAGTCATAATGCATTCATAGTCATGTCATTTAACGATTTCGTCCCTGAAAGGTGGTTGCTTTATCTATGATCATTTTACAATTTACTGCTTCTTTTGATTTTGTTATGAAGGGTTTATACGTAGTGAGATCCCTTAGTGATGATGGAATTTCACCTATTAAGATTAAATTTAGATAATGCCTCATGTTTTTGAAGGACCTTCGAATGACTTCACTGCAAGGTTTTTGGGTTATTACGTCTATGTATCAAACACAACAAACAGTCAAGATGGTCATTTATGTTTCCACGACACTATGTATTCCAGTGCCACGATACCTGCTATCTTCAAGATAAAATGTTCTGTACATGGACAATATGTCATTTACTATAATGAGAGACCGCAGATGTCACATGTACATGCCAGTGAATTGTCTCCATATGCACACAATGAATTATGTGAACTGGAGGTGGAAGGTATGATAATCATCACTATAAACGCAGTCAACATTCAAATTTCTGATAACCTTTATCATATCCCTCTTTTTTGGACAAAAATGATTCGATTATATATCTCTTCGAATTCCACATACATATAAAAGTATATAAAGCTACAAATTAAAACATTCTCCATATATGAATTCAAACGATTACAGTGCAAAGGAAATTACAAGCAAAGGAACTGACAAATACATCTTTCCAAGGGGAATTACATGTGATATATCAAACAGCACAGGATGCACTTAAACCATTTGTCGCCCGCGTGACGCAGTGGTTAGAGCATCTGCTCTAGAGTAGCGGAGTAAGGAGCTGATCCTTACGTCGCTCTTTCGAATCCCACTGCGGGGTGTGGACACCGGTCCTTCGGATGAGACCGTATAAAACGAGGTCCCGTGTCGCAGTAGGTGCTTCCACGAAAAAGATTCCTCACTGCTCAATGGCTTTAAGTGCAGAGTATAGGTCAAAATTTGTAGCCCTCCACCAGCAAGTGGTGGCGTCTCCATATGAGTGAAAAATTCTCGAGAGGGACGTTAAACAACAAACAAACAAACAAAACTGAAACCATTCAGTCAAACCCAAGGTGACTGCAAAGTCTGGAAATGTCACTTAATGTCAGAGATCCGCCATTCATTCACCTTTCAGTATATTTTCAGTCATCCTTCAGTTAATTAAATGGCAGAGTTTCGTCCTGTGGAGGTATAGTAATGTAAACTAAATCGTATTTCATACATTTTTAGGTTGCTCTAAAACAGGTTATTATGGACCAGATTGTTCCCATCCCTGTCCTGACAACTGTCTTCACCAATATTGTCACATAGAGACAGGTGCTTGTCTGGGGTGTAAACCTGGGTATCAGGGACACCATTGTGAACTGCGTAAGATATACATTTTACACCACTTTAACCAACCGTTATTCCCACACAAATCTCTATTTTTCTAAAATAAAAATCATGATGGAAACGATGAAAAGAAAGGATGGTATAAATATAATTTGATACTAACATGAATTGTACATAAGTAATACTAATGTATTTATCGATAGCCTGTAGTCCCCCATTTTATGGAGAGGTCTGTTCGCAGATATGTGGAAAATGTAGCAATAATGAAACTTGTGATCATATCAATGGGATATGTGGGAAAGGTTGTGAGATTGGTGTATTCGGACAGAAATGTGGGACACGTAAGTATGCTTCAAAGTTAACGATGCAAGTCAAATTGCAACAAGTGTTTCACAACATTTTCTCAAAGTACAATTTCACTTCAAAAAAGAGGAACAGAGTTATTAAAAAATTGAACTACTGTTTAAAACCGATTTCACAAATATATTTCAGCATATTTTGATATAAAGTATTTCGGTAATATTCTACTCTCTACCAATTATAAGCCAAATATCTATCGATAATTGTATCGATTATGAACAGGGTCCCTTGTATTTGTAGTCTTTTAATAATTGGATTTTGACATGAGTCAAATGTTTCAAAGGTATATTTAATGCTGATAAATTCAACCAAGGCCATACGTTAGACATGCATGTTTGTTGTTTAACACAATACATTTTTATACCTACGCTGACGTTGTAAGAGACATATCTTGAAGAGGAAAATGTATCTTATCTCTCACAATTTCTTAGATTATAAATGAATAGAAATAACATAAAGTAATTACTGTTTGTAAAATTAATTAACAGATATAAATATTTTCTTTGTTGATGAACTTGATGTCTGATGTTGAGAGTATATGAAATCAAGGTATCAAAGTGTTATATGTCTTTATGTCTTAAGACTTTCTTTAATAAATTTCAATTGTTGTCTTAATTTCAATTTGAAATTCAAGCATGTCTGAAAGGAAACTATGGAAAGGGCTGCTCAAGTGTGTGTCACTGTAACTCATGCAACCGATTTTCAGGAATATGCGACGGGCCATGCTTTCCGGGCTGGAATGGTCCAAAGTGCAATAAAGGTATAATTTCTTACATATTTTGATATTATCTTCAAAATTTCCATTATTTTCAAAACAAATACTTTATTGCTGACGTGCAGTCGAAACTTCACCGAATGGATAATTGGTTACATTTTGTAATAGCATATACAATGCAATTGTACAGATGTCGAACACATTTACAGCAATAAAAAAATTCCAACATACACTTTATTTGGTTCAGACATCTGATACGGACTTAAAATAAGAATTAGTATTTTGCACATATTTCCCTCCTCAGAATGCAATGGAAGATATTATGGGATTAACTGTTCTAGTGATTGCGGAGAATGTTTGAACTTTGAACAATGTCACCACATCAACGGCACATGTTTGAACGGTTGTGACCTTGGATACTATGGAGAAAAATGTGTCCGCCGTAAAGTTTTTTTTTCTTTCTTTTTGCTTATTCAAATCGTACATGTCTCAAAACTAAGATCCTAGTAGAGTATACAAATCTCCACATTTATTAACGTAAAGGTCTTCAAATGTTACGAATATGTAAATACTTCAAATACATTAATAATGAAATATATACGTAATGTATAAAGGATTCATGTTTCCATCTAATATACAATATTTTAAGGAAACATAACCCTTTACATCAAAATTTCTAAAATGAATAAATTTGATTAGAGTGCCCACTTGGACAATACGGAAGAAATTGTGAGAAAAGTTGTTCCCAGAATTGTCGCTACTCCAACAGGTGTGACCGTAAATCTGGTTCTTGTCAAGAAGGTTGTAAAACAGGATGGAAAGGCCTAAAATGTGAATCAGGTATAACGTGAAATCAGCAAAGCTCCAATTTTGATCACGATATGTACGATATGCCATTTTATTTTGATTCTATTTTTTTTTTTTTAAAATATACCTTTCTTAGAGATTTCTTTTCATAATTCTTTTCACTTTCTGTTATTTCATAAATTTGAAAACAAATGTATCAAATGAGAAACTATTTTTAGAGTGTGATTCCAATATGTTCGGGGAGGATTGTAGTAAACAGTGCGGGCATTGCTTGGAGAGAAGTCAATGTCATCATATTAATGGAACGTGTCCTTCAGGATGTGACGCAGGCTATATTGGTGGTACATGCACTGATGGTACTTTATCATTCTTTTTCTTTTTCTCTAATCAAAGATTAAGTTATGAATTTCGTTATGTTTAACTGAACATTTGATATTTACAAAGAAATATCATCTAACCTTTAATGAAACGTCTATAATTCGAAATTAAAAATAGTCTTTGAGTCACGATGACATAATAAACAAAATTTATGTGCGCATTGCTAAAGCTTAAAAGACAAAAAAAGGGGGAAAGGAAGAAAATATTCTTTTCTTACATTCTTACTTTTCTAAAACATCGATATTAGTGAATATTTGTTAAATAAAAAATCCAAGCTAAGGGCTTAAATTGATCACTGAAAACCAAAAAAAAAAAAAAAACAAACAAACAAACAAAAAACAAAAACAAAAACAAAAAAACAAAAAAACAAAAAAAAAAAAAAACAATGAGCTTGCATCACTCAATTTCCCTCTTAATTTTCTTGACCTGCCCCATTCAATTGTCGGTGAATATAATACAACACTTCACTACCGATGCTGTGTTTTTTTTAGACATACATTAATTGAATACCAAAGACTTCCGATATTCATCAATATAAGTTCAAAACTCCTTTATTATATACCCATAACTTTTTGCCATTAAATTATGACGCTTATTTGCATTAAATTACTTAGTTATTTTAGTATCTTTATTTAAATTTAAACATGCATTGTAATCGTCTGTCCTGGAAGTGATCAATATCCTATTATATCATATCAGAGACCCTACAGAACGTTTTAATTTTTTTTATTGAGGTTTTAATTGAGGCTTATAGATACTAAATAACTTATCAATAATCTTAGTTTTGTTAGGAAAAAAAAACACACACTACTTACCCATTGAAAATTATGTTTTTGAGCTGTTGTCCAGACTGAAGTTTTTGTTAACAACGGGTTGTTCGATATTAAACGCCCACGTTTGAAATATTTTGAGGCACATTTGCATTACAAACTAAGCGTAAAGTGAATGTTTAAGATCTGAACCTGTACACCGATTTTATGTCTTTTGGTATTTATTTAAATAGTCTGTAAAGCGGGTACGTATGGAGTTGGTTGTAACCAAAAATGTAGTGCATTTTGTTCTGTGTCTGGTATTTGTGATCACGTGACTGGAGCCTGCAAACAGGGCTGCAAAAGCGGATGGATTGGAATGGATTGTCTAGAAGGTATTTTTAAATCAGTTTTAAGTATTTATTAGTTAAAATTGTATTTACTGCGCTAGCTTTTTAATCTTGTCAAATCTATCTTTTTTTTCAAATGTGCTGTCCCATTTATGGTTTATTTACGTCTCTTGCAAAGACTATGCACTAATACGAGACGTCACCGTATACAATTTCAGGTTCCCTCTAGGCTCTGACTTAGGGCCCTTGTGTAGGGAATGTTCCTTATCGTGCTAACGCCTATAACGGCATGGGTCCTCGGTTTATTAGGTTCATCTGGAAGACCAGTGATTTTTACATCTACGAGAGGTTTTAAAAAGTTCGTCAACCAACCCCATAATATAAAAACTGCTTGAGGTACATAATTGAATTTTTAAAACATTCAATAAACATCATGTTTTTCTATCTATAAAATAAGCCATAAATTATAAGTTTTTTTAATGAATTGTTAATGCTTTTGTAAGCAATGGACGTCCAGGCGGCGCAACCTCGAACATAACGCATTTTCTTTCTGAGTGTAAGTGTGAAACACTCTTTTGATATGAGCATTTATCATCCGAAAATCTCATTACTCAATTGATATGACACAATTGTTCTGTACAAACTGCAGTTCCTCAATCTGTAATTTTTTCGAAGTTTTATAATGTTTCATATGGAGTACCCAAACTATTAAGGGGTTAAAATGACGTAAAAAGGGGAGGAATTCTTTTTCCTTTTTTTCTTTGAAGTTTTACCCACTGGAAAAACTGAGATAGATCTATAAAATATTTAAACCTGATACAGAGTTGATAATTAAAAAAAAAAGAGTACCCTTTTTAAAAAAAATGACAATACAGGTTTCGAGAGAGAGATGACGAACACCATTAATGTCGATTTTTAGTCAGGATGTCCAAAGTCAATCACGAAATGAGGCGTTGTTCATGTGTGTTAGACATTTAATTTTGACAAGGATGTTATGCTGACATAATCAAATTAGGATCCCTTCCTATGTAAAGATCCATTTACAATATTATTTGCATTTAAAATCAGTTGTTCCTGAAAATTTAGTCATATAAACAAGATGACTGAGGCCTTGACTTAACTCCAGGGAATCTCATCAAGATAAGTGTATTGAGGCAGAGGGAGCGGGCATTGAGAAATAATGACGTTTTCGGACGTCATGGAACTTAACGGCGACAGCGCCAGGTGGTCACGTACATGAAGTGTTTTTTATTATTATTATTATTTAATGATAAATTGGCAAATTATCAACGTATCAAGTTGAAATTTTCAAAACTTCTTAAATTTTTGTTGTTTTATGTTTCTTATATTTTTTTGGTATCAACGACTACATAGTATTAATTTTATCGCATTAGCACCAAAACTTTTTAATAACCCCTCCAACCTATAGTTCCCTTAAGGAATATTTAGTGCATTATGGTCGCCTCTGATAGCTCTATTGATTTATATAGAATGCTTTTAAATATTTTACACAATGCTGAATTGCTACATTGGAGTCGCAATAAAGATTGGATATTTAATATTTGAATAGATAGAAACACATGCCTTTCAAGAAAAATAAATAAGTTAAATTATGCAAGCATAACAAAACCGAAGAAGATTCATTGTCTGAAAAAAAGCTTTTCTTGTTTACAGTAAAAGAAAAAGATGAAACCAATGTGGGTCTCTACATTGTCGGATGCGCCCTCAGCATTAGTGTTATAGTCCACGTGTTTATGTTAATTTACATCATCCACTTAAGGTACATTGCGATGTCATTGATTTAGAAATCCAGTATGCTGATAAATAACACTGATAATATATTATTATCTATACAATCGTGCCAATTTTAGCATTTCCTTATAACATCTTATATTTATGATTAAGTAAATTAGTTATAATCAATTTATATATATATATATATATATATATATATATATATATATATATATATATATATATATATATATATATATATATATATATATATATATATATATATATATATATATATATATATTTGTAGAAGCAAAGTAAGACAGCAAGAGTCAATTGATAAGTACAAAGAAACCAAGATAAACAGTGTGAAGACTACAGGGGAGAATTATGACACAATAATAAAAACTTCGAACTCGGATTATCAGGAACTTGGAGTTATGAGCCAGTATCCTACAAATTAGTACATGCTTTCTATTGTTCTTTCTGGCAAATTTGTACTCACATAGCTTTTAGATTTTTTTTTTTTTCGTGCATATTTTCAAAGTAAAAAAATACCATTGGCCAAGCTTCAAATCACTTGAATCAACTGTAATTCAATGAATGTCGGTGTGATAACAAGTTAATGTTAATTTCTTTTCTTTTTTTTTTTTTTTTTTTTTTTGGTTTTTGTTTTTTGTTTTTGTTTTTTATTTTTGTTTTGTTTTTTCTGTTTTTTTGACAATGTGATGATGATATAAAAACCTGCGATCACGAAAACCTTTTAGGTTGGTGAGATAGTTTTATTAGTTTGAAAATAAGCAAATTTTATAATGCTTATATGACATAAAATGTAATATAGAGGAAATTGTAATCTGAATCCTTTCTAAGGATGACCTAATATGGTATTTTTTGTTAATATTTCAAAATTGAATTTGTTTCAAAATCAATGGTGCATTTCAAGTGACATGACATTTGTGAATGTACAATGATACTCTTCTGTTAGTCTGTTTATTTGTCTGTAGCAAAACTTAAGTATCTGCAATTTCATTGATTAAACACTTTATTCTCTGCGATCTCTTTGATGGAAAGACAAAAGGGTCCCAGACAAAATCAACTTCGTTGTGTTCAAGGAAGGCTACTGTAGCCAGGTGAATATGTACTTGTTTATAACTCAGTTTTGACGTTGCTCAGAAATCAAAAATAGAACATATGTGTACTTCAGGTATATATTTTTAACACAACCGATATCAGGAGACACAAACCAGTAACAATATTCCCTAGATTATTGCACCTCACCTAATAGGCTACGAAAGATAAACAATGCGTTTTGTTAGGTACAATGATTCTGACGTTATGTTCTTTGAAAACTCTGCCTGAAATTTCAAAAGTAAAGTAATTTATAATATATTTTTACATAAAATCTTTTTGTACAAATTATATGGACATATTTCTAATGCATTTCAAAGAAAATATTAAGATGTATACATCGCTGTTGTTGTGGAGAGGATAATACTAAAATATTGTCAAAGCTAAGAATATCAGTAAGTTGGGAATTCGGATTCATTGTTCATGTAATAGGAAAACAAAGTGCTTAGATAAAATTATAATTAAGAAATGTGGATGAAATGCCCTTTTGTAGAAAGAAAAACATGAAGCCTAAAGCAATCCCTCGGATGATGGCTGAATCAGTTTATTGGGGTATGTTTTCTTGGGGTTGGGGTGGGTTGAAAAAGGAACATACACTAGATGTAAAGGAACATACACCAGATGTGATGATTAAATCTTTGCAGGTAAAAAAAAATACAAAAGTACATATCAATTACAACGTTTTGATGAGTGGATTGCATGTACAATTAATCTTAGTTTCTATATTCAGTAATCATAAGTGCAAGGAACGCGTTGCCTGCTTTCAAATCCATTATAATTTGTTCAATAAAAATATATGTTTTAATTTGAAAATTCCTTTTGTTGTTGTTTGTCTATAATCTATCTCAACATAATCATTGACATATTTCTTTTGTCAGAGAATCACATTTTTATTTTACAAATAGTAGTCCAGTTTAGAGATATATGAGCATGAAAAGGGTTTCACAAAAATCAACAGATAGAAAAAAAAAAATTGAATAAAAGGAATTAACCAATCTGTTGTGCAACTAATATTACATTTAATATAAGACTAAAACAAATACATGATTGGTGTTATTGGCAAAGGCAATATTTCATAATACAAAAGAATCACGTCTCAACAATGTTAAAATGGCTCACTTAATCCAATATTTAACAACAAACCTACATTAATCTGTAAAATTGTTTCATAAATAAGACATGGGAGAAGAAGAAAAAAACCTAATTATTGAATGTACGCTTTAAAAGGTTTAATTTTGTTTTTGCGGGTAAATTGTACAGATAAAAGTTGCAAGCAGTTCCGTTCTCGCAAAACTTAATTTACTAAATTTTAGTGTCGCAGTTTGAAACTTATTCCCCTTTTAACACTTGATTATTTTCCTGAGTCTCGGGAACTGCAGAATCGTCTCTTTTAAGGAGAAACACCTCATCCCTCTGATGATGATATGTCTTGTCTTTTCTTTCTTGCGAGTTAATTATCCTGCAGAAAATTAAAAAAAATAAACAATGAAAGGTTATCTTTATAAATATTTAATTCGATTTAACAAAGGTAGTTTAAAAGTTCTTTCTTACCTTTTCATGATTTTGTAGAAAAGGCACAGCTCAGTCAGAGGAAGTGTAACACAAAAAGATATCATGATTCCATAAAATTTTATTTGATAGTTGTCTTGAACTGAAAATAATAATAATGATAATAATAATTAAAAAAGAGAAGAAAATTTTTAAAAAGTCAACGAACGTGATACTATGATTTCAAGTTTTTATAGCATTTACTTATACACAGACCCACTAGACATTCACTCCCCTTGACTCCAGCTTTACAGCCCGATTTACAGGCACCAGTCATGGGATGACAGTCACGTGATACTTCACAGAACGTACTGCACGCAATTTTGCAATTTGGCCCATAAAAGCCAAAATCACAAACTGAAAGACATTAGATTCACACATAGATCTAGTTAATATTTCCTATAAGCGTGACAATTTTTTTTTTTCAACTGTTCTTTGTAGTAAAATTCTTCTAAAATATATTCAATCAGAAAATAAAATCACAGAGTGTATATCAACCAGGTTTCTAAGGTCTCCCGTAATACCTCTATCACATTTATTTCCCTGATATCCAGATTCACAACCATTAACACAGGAACCATTGACGTGATGACAAGGCTCGCTGTCCATACATTTGCGACAGGTCTCATTGCAGCTATCTCCATACTCATTCCCATCGCATTCTATGCAAAAATGTATGATTTAGTTCTTCCATGAAATAAGGAGATAACGAACAGTTATCGAGCTCAAAATCAAGTTAAACAATACAAATTGGGAGCATATCAAACACGGACCTATGAAAACATAAGACATGGAATAAGTTCCATAGGATATTAAGATTGTGTTTCTTTCCTTATATAAACCTCAATATGTATAGATTGCGTACACTACAACACCAATGTTATCAATTGACGCATAGATTAGATTTGTTAACAAAAGGGATTCATTATAAAGATACTCTCAACTATTAAGCTTTTCTCCTTCGCTTTCCTCATTTAAAAATAAAACATTTTAACTTAGATAATGAATGGTGTTATATGATAATTTTATTAGGAACACTTCCAATTGTTCAAAAGCCTAAATGAACATTGTGACAGAAAGATAAGTGATGAAAGGCGTCTGAAGAAACTGGTCATCAGGAATAAAAAAAAAAAAGCTAATTAAACTTTTTTTTTTTTACATGTAATTTTAAATTCCCTCCCCCGAAAAAAAATATTATGCACGAAAGTTCCATTATATGTACATCTCATTTCACAAGAACTATTCAGCAATTGAAACATCACTGAAGGCAACCTTAAAGAAAACGTTAACTGTCTGCATTCTTCTTCTGTTAAATACATGCTTTTTGGATACAACATGTAAATAAAATATTAGTGGGAAATTATTTAGATAAAAATACTAGAATTAGTTACTTTTATGGCAGTAATCTCCTTGCCACCCTGGATGGCATCCCGTTTTACATTTACCATTCGTTCTATTACAGCCATAACATGTACCCATACAAGTTTCTAGACAGTTTAGTCCAAATTATCCGTTTCTGCAGGCTGATGAGCAAAACAACAGGTAACAAAATATTACTTTCGAAAGCATATGAAGATTATTTATTTTTTTATTAATTTATTTCTGTGGGGGAAAAAAAATATATGTGTTTCCTCCTCTTTCCATATACCTTTATTGCAAAAAGGTCCTTCAAATCCTACAGAACATCCATTTGAACATGTTCCATTTATAGGATTACAATCTTCTAATTTTTTGGGATGAAATGATCAATTTTTATATAGAGCACAAGCCTGCCCAAAATTTATTTAGGGTTCAGTTTAAAAATGAAATCAAGATGTTTCTATTTTTTGTTAAAATATTTGTGGGGCAGATGTGTGCTAATACCTAAAAAAGAACATTCTACAAAAATCCGAATTTCCTCATTTTCAACCCCTTTTTGCCCATTGTGATACGATTATAAATTTTGTTAAAGAATTAAACATTTTTCATATAAATTATAATGCTACGATTTTAAGTTGTTTACTAACACTTTAGTAGGTGTATAGGTCCACTATTTAATTTTTTTTTATATTATGGGAAAGAGGTTTTACTGTAATTAGTTGAATCCCACACTAGAGGTAAACAAACTTCTTTACATATTAGAACCTTCCTTTGAAGTTATGCATATATAACCTCTGTATCATGTAGGAACAAAAAAAACGAATGCATTAAAAAAAAAAAAAAAACAAACTACCAAATAAGAGCTACATTACTTTTCCGAAAAGCATTACTTTTGAAACTTTTGAAACTGTGTACCGATACTGGGAGTATATTAAAAGTTTATACGTCATGTTCGCTATTGTTATTGTTGGGCATTGCTCAGTAAAATGGACAAAATGAAATACTCACGTACAATTATAACAGGTAAAATTCAACATCTTTATCCCGAATTAAAATCTTGGCTTTTGCATAAACCATGTTTGTATACCATGATATATCGGCCTATCCGAACTATCTTCAAGAAGATCGATCTACAGCAGGTGAGAAGTGAAAGTATAGGTTTCACTAAATACCAGGAACGACATAAAAACGTACTAAAACAGAAAAAAAAGACAAATTCCTTTTCTTTCTTTTTTTTCATTTAATACTCATAGATTAGGGTAAATTCGTAAAGAAATGTTCATCCTCTTTTTTCAGGCTTTAATAAATCTATAAAGGTGGTAGGAAGAAATGGGGGGGGGGGGGGTAGCCACGACCCCACAAAAAATTCCTTGACTAGCAGGAAAAAAAGTAAAGGTACAATATTGTTTAAGGGGTAAAGGCGCAATTAGTCATTATTTATCTACATGTATCTTTTAGTGAAAATTGGCATTAATGGACATAAATTCCCTGGTTGGGATATACTGATCTTCAAATATGTGTTTTACACTTAAAACTACTAAGTCATTATAAGAGACCTCTCCTCCCCCTCGGACTGTACAACAGGCCGGAAGTAAATGAGTACAATACACTTTTTAGTTTAAAAGTGCCCCATACCTTAGTATTAATTGTTAACTCTATAGTTAAAAAAAAAAAAAAAAAAAAAAAAAAAAAAAAAAAAAAAAAAAAAAAAAAAAAACAACTTATAATAACAATAATGTTAAAGTTTCCCTAAGATATTTCACTGATTCCCGTTAGATATTGATATTGCATTCAATTTGTTCCTCTACAGCTTTGGTATTCAAATGGGGGGGGGGGTGGTGTTTGTTTATTGGAGAGGGGAATATATGTATTTAGCAATCAAATGGGAAATAAAATGCAGTTGATTAGTACTGCACTGCTTCTAGACTTTGATTAAATACGTGTTTTGTTTTCTGTACACTTTTCACCAAATTCAAGGTTTAATATTTATTTTTTTTTTTTTTGGGGGGGGGGGCACACAATTACTGACTGCTTCTATGTTTAAGAATGGAGACACCCAAGGTGAGGACAGAGGACAATACCTGCTTTGAGAAAGGAAATTTTAATTCTAAGAGTTCATGAAAAGATATTTTTTTTCAAAAATGGTATTGTCAGTATCACGTTTTACATATTTGCTTCCTTTATTTCATTAAATAACTTATCGATAAATAATTTTATTTTTCACTTATGGTTTTTAATGTATGTGAAAAGAAAAAAAATAGCTTCACACAGGGTTCGAACTCTCTCCAAAGGTCAAGGTTAGGCATAAGACTGAATGCGTTGACCACTACGCTACGATTGATTCTTGTCATCGATGTGGTCGGTGTGCTTTAGATAAACGAATTTGCTGAAACAAATATATTTTTCATAAATATTCGATTTTCATATTGAATGGATTCAGACTCCGCTTATTTTTCTTCTTTTTTTCCTTTTCTTTCTTTTTTTTTTTTTTTTTTTTTTTTTTTTTTTTTTTTTTTGAAACGTCAAATAGATTTTACATAAACTTTTCCATCTTTTAAACATTAATGCAGAATGGAGACTTGACCCATTTAAATTAAAATAAAATCATTTTTAGAGCTCTATTATACCCATTTCCCACTAAATATGCGTAATTGTCAGCTTGAAAAAATAATTATTAATTGATAAGTCAGCGATATGGTAAATGAATCAAATGTGTTTACGATGACATAACTGACGACATAATTTTAGAAAAATGTAACTTCCGTGAATATTGTAAATCGAGAAATTTATTGTCTCAGAGAGGGGGATTGTCCTCGTCGTTTACGCCCTCTTTCTTTTATCAGTCATTTGCAGTTAAATTAAAAGCCATACTTTCAGATTTAGTCGTTGATCTTTTTTTTTTTTTTTTTTTTTTTTTTTTTTAATTAAATAGACGTTTAAGCATTTGTCTGCCAATAAGATCATGAACATGTCTAACTTTGTTTTCATCATATTTATCTATATATGTCACATATTTGTATACTAGCTTGAGGTTGCCACTATTGTATTCATTAGTAAAGGCTTCTTTACACACAAAGAGAGACAGTTCGGTACAAAAGTGTGTGTGGAATTATTACAAGTTAATGATTTTTCAAGCTCAAGAAATACTCACATGTGTGCTGTTCCCTGGTAAAAGTGATGTCTTTGTTATAGCAGTCCACTATAATGAATTTGTAGTTTAATTTGTAGTAAAATTAATGTACTTAGAATATCTGGAAACTTTCAGAGATCTTTTAATTTTTTTTACATTTATTAATTTCCGAACGGTGTGTCTTTGAACATCGCCCATGATGATGATTTTCACGTCCCATATTTTTACGCAAATATTCAGAAGGAACATGTTGACTATAAGATGGCTAAAATGGTAATTGACCAAATCGTATCTGTCGACTATAGTGTTTCACGTAGCAGAAAATGACTGAGAGACTATTTTCTTGCAATATGCAGGATATGCATTATAATGTAAAACAATAAAGCGGAGGTTTCAACAAAACTGCCTACAGGAACATATTTTTGCTATCAAAATTCCATACAATTTGAATTCAACCAGAGTCTTTTTTTTAAATGGGCATCGGTATGGTGGATATATGTGCATTCTGGAGGTCAATTTTCAAATATTACATAAACAAGGGTTAGCTAAATTACTTTAAACAGATGAATAATGATTTTTATTAAGGGGTTGCAAGCACACTCTCCTAGATGACCTGTAATTTTGAAATAAATCATATGTTATCTTTTTAATAGTTGTCCGTAACAAGGGGGGGGGGGGGGTCACTTTTTTCTGACAATAGTCTTTCGCTTAACTTTGATATACAATTCTTTATTAAAATGCTGCCTATTGCTAAATATTTCGGACACTGGCGAATTCCTGCATTAAAGGAAAGTTAGAAATCCCCCCCCCCAACGAAATAGGATTTTTTTTAGTAGGTGCAGTCACTGATATATGTATAAGTATACAAAGGAAGAAATATTCCTTCTGGCATATTTAGTGAATATGTAAAATCAAACATGGTATGTTTCCGGCTCCTGTAGGTGCAGTTTATGGTTTCGGCATGTTATTTATTTATTTTTTTTTTTTTGTGGAGGTTGCCCCTACCCCCCCCCCCCCCTACGTACTTTCAAAAACGGGCCTTGCATTGTTAAGATCGCACAAAATATGACTGGCCATATACTTGGTATTCTATTATTAAACTGATAATGTCCTACCTTGTGGTCAATTATCCAGTATCAAGTGATTTATGTTTTTACAATCAGATGATAATTTTATTTCCCTATGACGTTACGTCACGTTATACAAATTATGACGTTTCCTTCGCAATTTACTAGTAAAACAATGCCATACTGCAATCTCTCTTTAAGAGAGAAAAAGTAAAATATATATCAAAAAAGAAAAACAGTTCCATAAAGCTTGAAGTTTACACTATCTGTTATCAAGATTTCATTAAATGTTTAGATGAGGCCGTTTTTGACCCTTCGTGGGCTTAGCTCTTTCATATTTCATCTTTGATATTTGTTTACCTTCATGACAGTAGTGTCTCTTCCATCCTGGATGACATCCGGTTTCACATTTACCATTTGTTCTATTACATCCATAACATGTACTTTTACAAGTTTCTAGACAGTTTCTACCAAATGTTCCGTTTTTACAAGCTGTTTAGCAGGAACATCAGAAGTAATAAATTACTTGAAGCAATAGAAAAAATGATCATAAAAACATTATAAACCAAAATAGAAAGAAAAGTTAACAGTTAGAACTGCCTAACCTTTTTTGCAAAGAATCCCTTCATATTCTTCATCACAGCCATTTATACATGTCCCGTTAATTGACTGGCATTGTTCCAAACTTAGACAGTTTCCACACAGCATGCTGCAGTTACTTCCATATAATCTATCATTGCACTCTGAATCAATGGTATCAAATAAGCAAATTACATTCACATTGATTCCTGCTTTCTAGAATACTTCTCTATATATTTCCTTTGAAGCTGAGAAACAAATAATACTGTCCAATTCCATCCCATGGGTTTTCTTTATTCTTTTTTGTTTCAAA